GCCCCCCCCCCCGAGCTGTGTGGCTCAGCCAGTGTCACCAGCTAAATGAAACACAAATGGGCCCAGAGCCTGTAACTGGTCTCTGCTCTGGGCTCCAGTGGGGCCCTGGGGCTGAGCTTTGTGTTCTAGAGCCATTTCGGGGTGTTGCACACAGTACCACAGCAGGTTGAAGTAGAATCCCCAATTTCACCATCCAAGGCAGGTTTTGAGCCCTCCCCAGTGCCCTGGGATGGAGCAGGAGGTGTGTGCTCAGTGGGACACGTCCCACAGGGTGCAGCAGGGGGGGACAGGAAGGGTCTCCACAGACAGGCTGGATTGCAGTCAGGGCAGTCACAGGAAGGACAGATGGTGAGTCTGTTGGGGTTTGTAATGATTTTGTCTGGCTGGACATGCAGTGGTGGCTGTCCCTGCCCTCAGGAGACAAACCCCGAGCACACTGTGGTTCCTGCACACGCTCAGGGAGACACTGGTCCCACACTGGGACCCCCTGGTGCTGGTTTATGTGCCCAGGTGTGCTCAGGGACACTGTCTGGCAGCAGCTCCTGCCCCTTCCCTGAGGCAGGAAGCCCTGGGAAGCCCCCAGAGGGTTCCAGCCGAGGGAGCAGCACCTGTGAGAAAACAACTTCTACTTCAAACTGCTGGCACACAATTACTGAGAGAGAACAAACAGCAGCAAGTCCTGCAGAGCCCTGAGGGTGCAGGTGGAACAGCCTTGGAGGGGGTTAATTCCCCTTCCACGGGAAGAGGAAAGGGGATCAGGAGAGTACTGCAATGCCATCCCTGGCCAGGCCAAGCCCATTTGCTCATTTATGTCTGAGACACATTGAAAAAGGCTCTGCCAAAACACTTGTAGGAGGCTGTGACTTGCACAGAGCAGTAAAGCTCTCACGCTCTCTCCACAGAACTCGCAGGGTTTGTGACACAGTTCTCCACACAAGGCAGCTGAACCTCCTCTGCTCACAGAGGATTTCAGAGCTGCCCAGCCCTGAGCCCTCGTGACGGGTGGGGAGAGGGATCTGTGGTGGGGTGTAATGTGCTGTGAAATCTGGTGACTCCAGAGCCCTAGGGAGCAGTCTCAGCAAAACAAGTGCTGTACAGACAGGAAGGGTCTGAATGTCTGTAGTGTTTTGAGGGTTCTCCTGCAGAGGCTGAGGAACATAGATGGGAGTGCATCAAGGCCTTAGTTAATGCACATTTAGGGATGGCTCTTCCCTTGTCCTGTCTCTCTTGCCTCTCCCTGCAGCTCTGGAAAATGCCTTTTCTTCTACAACCAAAACAGTGCTGGGGCTGGAAGGGCTGAGGCTATAGGGCAGTGATGTGTTTCCAGAAATGCTGCAGGTTAGGGGACTAGAACTTGGGCCTAAACTTCAAAAGAATTTAGGCCCTGTGCAGAGCTGTGACAAGTCATGGGTTTATTTTTAAAGGCCAGCAAGTCTTAATTCTCTGGGATTCTATGAGAAGGAACAGGTTTTAGTGCGAGTTCTGTGGAGAAGAGTGCTCGAGTCATCAGCTGAGACAGAGCCCCAAGGGCGGACACTCCCTGCAGCACCACATCTGCTCTGGTGGAGCACAATTCAGGGTGCCCAGGCTGGCCCAGCCCTGCTGCAACAAACCTCGGGGCTCCCTGGCTGCTGTGGGCACGTCCCAGTGCAGCAGGATGGGCTGTACCTGGGTGAGAGCAGCTCCCTCGGGCAGGCCAAGGCCTTGGCGTCGCGCCCTGCCAGGGAGGAGAGTCGTGCCGCCGGCTGGGGCAGCTCCTGCTGCCCCCAGCCCTGGGGGGAGCCAGCACTTCTTCGCTTTCAGTGCTATTGAGAATGGCTGTAGTTAAACTTGATTCACTGTTTATTATGTTTAAAAAAAATAGAGTTCACACAAAAGTGTCATGTAAACATCGTTTAAATAACTGCTGGTGCTCAGGCAGGACCCGGGGCTGAGCTGATGGTCATGTGGCTTCGGGGGCTGCAGAGCCCCAGGGAGGGTTTCTGATGCTGTGTGAGCAGGCAGACAACATGGTCACAAGGACACCAGGCTAGAGCTTTGGGTTACTCGGCTCCAGGATTCCCAAGCCAAACCTTTCAAAACGCAGGACAACTTTGCTACTGTTAATGCTGCAGAGAG